TGTGTGTGTGTGTGTGTGTGTGTGTGTGTGTGTGTGTGTGTGTGTGTCAACTCCACTGCCTGGCCCTAGAGGGACCCCCAACTCTCTGGCACTTTACCCCAGTCCTGCTCTCACTGCACCCCCCAACCTCACTCACTGAATGTTACCTCACCCCTCCAGCCTTAGAGAGACCCCAACTCCACTGATTGTCACTGCACCTTGACCCCTGAGATCCCCAACACCACTGTCACTGTACTCCATCTTCCCAGTCCCAGAGACCCCCTCAACCCTACTGTCATTTCACCCCTCAGTAAAACCCCCAACCTCAACTGTCACTTCACCCCTTGTCCCTAGAGAGACCATCAACTCCACTAAATCTCACTGCACCCCTCAACGCCCTATTCCCAGAGAGATTCCAGACCTCACTGAATGTTACTGCAGCCCCCTAGCCCAAGAGGGAGACTTCAACCCCACTGAATCTCACTGCACCCCCGATGCCCCAACTCCCCAGGATATATTTTGTTTTAAGAATTTGTATGAGGCCTGTTGTCATTTAAAAACCATAACAATAAATAAATATAAATAGCATAATGAGCTAAGTTGCATGTAATTATGTAATATTTATGTAAAAGAAATTGTGAATTGTCCGTATTAAGTGCATGAAAATTTTCAGCTGGTGTTATGATAGGCCTCCCCACTTTTTTTCAGAACTAGGGTTACCATATTTCAGCAAGCAAAAAAGAGGACGGGAGGAGCCCCGCCCTAGCCCCGCCCCTGCCCCCCACTTCCCGCCCCCCTCAGAACCCCCAACCCTCCCCCCGTTCCTTGTCCCCTGACTGCCCCCTCCTGGGACCCCTGCCCCTAACTGCCCCCCAGGACTCCACCCCCTACCTAAGCCTCCCTGCCTGTTGTCCCCTGACGGCCCCCTCCTGAGACCCTCCCCCCATCCTAACTGGCCCCCTAGGACCCTACCTGTACCCTGATTGCCCCAACCCTTATCCACACCCCCACCCCCAGACAGACCCCTGGGACTCCCACGCCCCATCCAACCACTCCCCACCCCCTGACAGCCCTGCCCCCAGAACTCCCAACACCCCCCCCGCTCCTTGTCCCCTAACTGCCCCCTCCTAAGACCCTCTTGACTGCCTCCTCCAA